CTTTCTATTGACTCTTCCTCCGGTGATTCCAGTTTCTTGCCTGTAGTGTGCAGTTGCTGATTAAGTAGAATTTACGGTATAATTGGGAGATTGTTGGTCTCTGTGGCTTGTCAGTGTCCCATCATGTCACACACACTTTAGTTCAGGAGACTTGTCCAGGGGCCGACAACACGGATTGTAAAACTATTTTGGCTAGAATTGGTCTAAATAAGGTATAACATGACCATTCATACATATATACACATCTGTGAGAGCTGAGGTTATCTGATAAGCCATAATGAAAAATAAATTAATTATGTGCACACTAATAAATGGATTCAAAAGGTTGGATGGATCACACTATGAACTTGTGTTTATAATCTCAATGTCATTTGGTAAGCATAGGGCCACATTTAGGGACAAAGCGGGCCGCAATTGGCCCTCGGGCCTGAGTATGGACATGCTTGTATTACAATCTAGAGAGGGCCACTTTCACCAGACTTTCGTTCAAAATGTACTGAACATATAACAATGATCTATGGGTGTCGTCCATTAAAACTTGCTATCTACATATTTCTTTTGAATAAGTTTATCTAGATTTTGGACTGTGATTTGAAAACAGAGAGTGTCGAGAGCATTACATTTATTTGACACAGGCCAAAGTGACAATACACATTCAGGAAGTGCCCCTTCTTCTCCTTGTGAAGACAATGATGTCTTCCAGATGGTATCGGGGAAAACAGTCTAGTCCTGCTGCGTGCCCTTCTGTACAATCCACTGGACCCTCCCGGTCAGGTCTAACCTACACTAGCCCAATCTATAACAGTTAGCTTATGCTAGCTACAAAACTACTGTGTTATATTGTAAAAAATCACAAGGTAAAGAATGAACATTAAATTCCACTGAAGGAAGTCCTTGTAAAAAAATGCAGTATTTATGAAGAATTCTATACATTATTGCATGAATATTACATGATCAGATGAGATAGACGTTATTGATCAGACACCGGAGAAATTTACACATCACATTTGGCATAGATAGAATCACTCAGATTGTGCAAAAGACAGAAGTGTTCAACTTGTTAAAGGTTAAAAATATAGTCTGTGCAGGATATATTATGTACAATAAAAAGTGGCAATAACAATGCAGGTTTTGCAGTCCTACTGCATGACTTAAAGTGACTCATTGTACAGTATGACAGCGGTGAGGATGAAGGCCCTGCAGTGGCGCTCCTTCTTACACTGAGGGTGTCTCAGTCTTCCACTGAAGGAGCTCCTCTACAGTCCTGTGCAGTGGGTGAGAGGTGTTGTTCATGATGGAGGTGACTTTGACCAGCACCCTCCTGTCCCTCACCTCCTCCACAGAGTCTAGGGGCCTCCTGTCCCTCACCTCCTCCACAGAGTCCAGGGGCCTCCTGTCCCTCACCTCCTCCACAGAGTCTAGGGGCCTCCTGTCCCTCACCTCCTCCACAGAGTCCAGGGGCCTCCTGTCCCTCACCTCCTCCACAGAGTCCAGGGGCCTCCTGTCCCTCACCTCCTCCACAGAGTCCAGGGAGCAGCCCAGAGCGAAAAAAATTAAATGAAAGAAATACTTCACTACAGTTGAGTCATATTTTAGTTATTTATTGTAAGTCATCTCTATTTATAAAGCGCCTTTCACAGACCAGAGTCAAAAAGCGCTTTACAATTGTGGACATTTGTCTCACTCCTGGGCCGGCCTACAGGAGGCAAATTGCCAGACTTATTGCACATGTTTTTAGTTGTAGGGGAAACTGGGGCACCTGGAGGAAACCTACGGAGACACTGGGAGAACATGCAAACTCCACACAGAAAGGTATTTTTTGCTGTGAAGCACAAATGCTAACCACGTTCCGCCTAAAATGATCAGATCTATTTTGAAGGAAGTGACGTTTCACCCAATGCCATGAGAAATTAAAAGCATATGTGAACAGAGCAATGGAGTACGGTTCAAACATTTGTTGAAATTGTGTCTTGGTCAGGGAGCGGGAGGAGGCAGGGAGTGGAATTGGAGTTGGTCGTGAGAATATGGGGAAATATGGAGAGAGGTGAAGTCATAAGAAGTGGAGAGTTGGATAATGGTTTTGTTCTTAAATAAATAAATGAACATAACGGATAATCTTCTGAACAGGGAGAGTAGAAACAAGTAACAAATCAAATTCACATTTACACAGTTCTTCACAAGAACAAAAGAAATCTCCAAAATCAGCTCCGGAAAGGCAAGAAAGAGAAGGTGCCATGAGGCTGTAATTCTTGATTGGCAGCTGGAGCGTATAAGGTACGAGGTGCTAAGCTTTGTTCTTGACTTCATGGAGCACCCTCAGGTGCTTACCGTTACATTTAGGACAGGGATTTTTTGAGATTACAGTCTGTATCTCTGTGATCCCTTGCACAAAGCCAGCAGCGATGATTGTCTCTGATCCATTTTTGGAATGTCTCAGGAGATAGTTGACGATGGTCTGGGCAGACGCTGAGATGGTGGTCAGGAACACCACGGAATGGACATACATGGCGAGAGTTTCTGGACAATTTTGACATGTTTGGGAAGGGGGATGGCTTGTTCCATGCAGAATGGATGAAGGCCTATTAATTAATCAAGTAAATGAAATATACCTCATCGAGCCAAGTCATGGTTTGACAAGATACAAATCTACACATTTTAAATTAATCCTAACCACAGTTAGGCTTGGTGTTAGCCATGTGTCCACCAGACTGAACATCTGATGGACACATGACTGAACATCTGATGTCATAGGGAGCTGAAATATACCTCCTCAAGCCAAGTCTGGTTTGACAAGATACAAATCTGCACATGCCTATAACATTTTAAACAGACGCAACACTCATAGGATGGACCTTTGCTCCTCTCCAAAGCGGCCACTTTCTCCACCCCTTCACCCTTTTCTTCAGAGCAGAGTTGTTGCTCTTTGAAGTGTTCAGAGCCTCTGATATCTCCTGCACCTTTAACTTCATTGTCCACATCTGTTTTTCATGGGTTTCCTTCAGGCATGTCATCTCCTGTTCAGTTTTTAGAACTGTCTTTTGTAGACTGTCTATTTGTTTCTGACTTGAAGCACTGATCTTTGTTTTCTCCTTGTTCGAAGCAAATCTTAAAGATGAAACATCGGCTGTGAGAGAGTCTATTGTCCTCTCCTTCTCCTGCACTTTGGCCTGCAGTTGTTCCTTTTCATGACTCTCTTGGTCCAGGGCGGCTGTGAGAGACAACACTTTAGTTTGAAGATTGTCTCTCTCTCTCTGTAGCTGCTCCACGTCTTTCTGTGCCGCAGTTTTGGCCTTTGCCTCCTCTTTCACCTGATTGTTGATGGCCTTATTCTTCTTCATGGCCTCTTGGTTTGCATGCCTCTTTTGGTCCAGGACACATGTGAGAGTCCCCAGTTTTGCTTGAAGCTTGTCCCTCTGTTTCTGCAGCTGCACCGCCTCTTGCTGTGCTGCAGTTTTGGCCTTTATTTCCTCTTTCAGCTAATCATTGAGGGCCTCATTCTTGTTCTGCTCCTCTTGCAGGAGCTTTTGCAGAGAGTTGCTCTGCTCTATCCTCAGATTGAGGGTATTCAAAAGGGACTGGACCTGATCTTTGTATATTTGTGCGGTATTGCATAGGTCTTCATTTTCTGCGAAATGTTGGTCTTCTAGACGCTGAATATATTCATCTTTGGCTTCAATTTCTTCTTCCCAATGATCTCTCTCCTTTTTTACATGTTTGTCACACTTGGCTTGCCAGCGATTCTTTAATGCCAGCGTCTGTTGGACATGATTTTTAACCATCTCATTCATTCTCTCTCTTAAGACCTGGTTCTCAAGCTGCAGGGCCTTTTGGGAGGCCTGGTGTTCCTTCCTCTCTGCTTCTAACTGTTCTCTGAGCTCCTTGGTTTGTTTCAGCAGATCTTTTGTGAGCCTTCGGGGAGGCAACGTGCTTTCTTTCTGGTCCACAGACATAATGTTGTTTATATCTGATTCTCGGGGTAATGTAGGGCTTACTTTGTTCTCTGTGTATACTGAGTCGGATACTTGAACCTGTACGTCCTTCGGAGTTATGTGCTGCATAACTTGTGTGATATTCTTATCAAGATGGAGTGATGTCATGGAATGACGTAATGGAATAGTGTTACCATGGAAACGGTTGCCAAAGTTACCGGAACATTATGCAAAGTTACACCCATCATGGTGCCAAGAAAGCAGCTGCCATTTTCAAGAAATAAGAATCTAATAGTTAATAGTTTAGCTCTCTAAACACCTGAATGAGGATTGCCCTAGATGTTGAAGGAAACTGATTTTCCATTTGCTTTTCCTCATGATCCAGAATATATAAAGTATTTGTTAAATAACAAAAAGAATGAGTACTTTACTTTCAGATCCTACTACTCTTTCTGTACTGAAGGCATTACTTCCATGTACTAAAGCGCTTTCTTTTTGAGTAGCGTTTTAAATCAAAACAGGTGTTTTACATGTTTTAAAATAATCAATGAAGTTGTTCCTAATAGTTACTTCTTTCACCGAGATGCAATTTGATTTCAAAGTAATTCTGAATTCAGGCAGAATTACTTTAAAATATATACATTTTCTTTTTTAGTATATGTACTTTTTTATGCACATACTGTAGATATGTTCTGTTCATCACATCATGTACACAACATTGTTTCTCTTATTTTACACATTCTTTCTTTTCCGTTTCCCTTCTCCTGATGTGTCCCGTGAACCAAAATAATCCAAAGTAAAAATAAATCAAAGTACATAAATGAAAATAAAAACTTTATCTTGGTTGCTAGGCACATCCATTTTCTTTTCTTCTTCTTTAACTGTATTTGTGGTGAGCATCTCTAGCACAAAATAAATTTGAATATTATACGTCTTGAACATTATTTGAACATTTATAGTATAGAAATATAGCGAATTAAGATGACATAATGGACTTTTGGGGGGATTGGACCATTTTCGACTTTGGTAAGATATATTAAAGTTGCAGCAGTGCCTGCTGTCTTTCCTGATATGTTCTGCTTGAGCGATTCCAATGAAGTTCCGAGTCTTGTATATTTCATGGATGGTACGAACGCTGTTGTTGCGTGTCATTCCAGTTTGGTCCAGTTTAGCTGTTGTATACTGTAGATCAGTGTTCCCAAACCTTTTTGAGCCATGGCACACCTTTTTCACTTCCCCAGCTGAAACTGATACAAACATGAAACTCTTGCCACCTTTTATTAACAAAGCAAAGTCATTCTCATCAAAGTGTATTATATAGAACAGGGGTGTCAAACTTATTTTTTGCCAAAACAATCACTTCCCAGGGGTCTAAAGTGAAATGACGCCTCAACGTTGTAAAATAACGTATGCCTTTGTCACTTAAAACAAAAAAAAACTACGGATAAAACATGAATGCTGAAACTGAAGTGTCTAGTTGGTTTTGCCAATCCATTTATCAATTGAATAGTAGTAAACAACAGTAAAATTATTCCTTTGCATTTTGTTTTTACATTCTGAAGGTATTTTGACTTAAGGATTTCTCTAATTCAACCTAAGTTTGGAGTTTATTTTCTGTTAGATCTTTCAGATGCTATTATATTAACATGCCATGGTAGCTCATATTCACTTTTTTACTATACAAATGCAAAGTAATAGTAATAACTGAAAAGAGTCTGCCTTTGCTGCATTTTTCCCGATGAGTTTGATACCTGTGATATATAAAAACCATCTAACTGTGCAAATAAAGTTGGAGTGGAAGCTTATAAATTTGACTTATTCCCACTCCTTTTTGTGCTTTTTCAGGGAAATCCTTAAAGCTGCCCTAACTGACTTTATTTTTGTATTCATTACAAAAATTCAATCCATATCCATGCAATGCGTCCATACGTCCTTTTGAAGAAAAAGTAGCGCAGATTTGTGCTGGCGTGTCATTTAATTTTAGATTTTTTTGTGAAACAAGGAAGAGAATATGTTTTGGGTCCCGATTGTGACCAATCACAGCGGACCACTGGCCCCCACTTTCTTGAGAAAAGCCACAGGTCTCTCCTTAGCACAGTCAGCAGAGTTAGCACAACAAGCGGCGGAGGCTAACTTGAAGCTTCCTGTGTCTTTGTTAACGGTTACTGCTTAAAAAAAAAAATACACAGCGAAACATCCAAAAGGAAGTCTCGTCCTCTCCGTGCTTCCCGGTTCTATCATTCTATGGTCACCCGATCCACGTTCATATGTGCAATCCATACATGGATCTATCCATGATACGCTAGCTCTGTAAACAACAGTGGGTGTGAGGTTGTGGGGGGCGATAGCTTCGTGGGTGCAGGGAGGGGAGGAAAAAGAGCGAGGCCAGCGAAACCGCTGCTTCAAAATCCCAAAGTCAGTTAGTGCAGCTTTAAATGTATGTATGAATGTATGTTTCTATCATGTATAATATGTAATTTCTGTAATTTCTTTAATTGATTCCTGTAAGCTTGACATAAATCCAATCAATCAATCAAGGTCTTTCTAATCTACTTCATTATTAAAGCATTATTTTGACCAATGAGGTGATATAGGGCCATTTCCAAACTTTATCTCAAGCACACTTACGTACTGTACCACGGCACACACAAAAATATTGACTCTTAACATATAGTAGCTGCAATTTTATTTTACCCTCTCACTTTTTTCACATATGGTCAATGCTTTCTGTATATTCTAATATGAGTTTCTTCCATAAAACCATCCTCATTACTTTTTTATGACCCTCTAGTATGCCTTCAAACTGAGTGTTCAAATAGATCCTTGGATGCTTCAAATATTCATGCATTTTGGAGGGGCATCACATTTTGTGACCCTCACTGGACAGAGAGCTAATTTGTGATGAATCTGCAATCATTGAAAGTGGATAGATAGTTGAACGAAATGCTAAATTAGCTTGAAAGAATAAGCTAATTTCTAGAAAGTATATTGTACAGATTGAACAATTAGGGTAAAATGCATGTGGTCAGATGGTTGGCTTCCATTGACCATGTACAAGATACAATAATATTTTGCCATTTGCAGTAAACCCACATTGGAAAAACTGTGCAAGACTACCCTAGTGTGCACCAGACACAGAAGACGGCACACACCAGAGCTCTTGCCAAAGCGCCATCTTTACGGCGCCATACGACTAATAGTAGAATAAACAGCAGAGAGCAGTAACATGCATTTTAGACTTGTAAGATAAGACACACCAAAGCTACATCAGAAGCTAAGCAGGGAAGGGTCTGGTTAATACTGCGATGGTAGACCTCTGAGGAGATATTGAGGGAAACTGCTGTTGTGTCCTGTGCAAGTCATGTCACCCACTTTATATTATATGAGTCTGGAGCGTGGTTAGGTTTGTGCATGCGTGTGTGTGTGTGTGTGTATGATTGGTGGTGGTGGTTATTGTACAATTACGTTTATTTTTCACAACCTCATATAATATACAGCTATACATTGAAATTCTCTGCATATCTTTGTCTAATTGTGGAAAAAGGACACCCAAGGTATCTATGTAAAGCTTATTGATGAGGTCCGACATTGCATAAAGGAAATATTAGAATTGCCGAAAAGATAGTGATTAAATTTAACTTAACACAGTAAGAATGAAGTTATTTAGAAAAATTCTGAATTATGGTCACAAACTGTAATTTGTTCGGACATTATTGACCATTTCACTAACTTCTATGTGTCTTTTCTGCAGCTCCCTTGCCCCGGTCCATCTCCATCACAGATAATGGTGAGTGTTTTAAGACCAATTATTTGTCCTTTGCAGTAAAACCACATTGAAATGCATCTGCAAAAGTACCAAGTGTGCACCAGATAAATATACATAATCTAAAAAGTACTAGAAATTATTGTCATTTTGCCAACAACAAGTACATGAACATTACAATGCTTTATAATGGCCCAATTTGAGAGAGGGATCCACTCCCACAGACGGACAGGCTGTAGAACCAGGACTGTGAGTGGTAGGATAGAGGCAGCTCCCAGGCGGGAAGGGGGGGTGCAGGCCACGAGTCCGGGCAGAGGGCGGACAGTTCACAGGTACAGGTCGAAGAGGCCGGGTTCAGGAGTTCCATCCAGAGCTGGTGCTTGCCTTGTTGGGGCCCTAAGCAGAAGTCAACATAGGGGCCCTACACATAATTCAAGAAGCCATAAAAATCAAAGCAAGCAGAAGTTCCATTACACACAAATACATAATTCACACTAATCAAGCAATATAAGACAACAGCCAAAGAAAACATGTTTAACATGTATTCTATTTATTAAATTATTCAACACAATAAGATAAAATAACATTTGAACTATTCCCACACAATAAGATAAGAAATGATAAGATAGACTTTATTGAGCTCACACAGGAGAAATTTACATGTCACAATTGGCATGGATAGAATCACTCAGATTTGTGCAAAAGACAGAAGTACATTTTCCACATTGTAAGTTCTGTATTGTACTGGTAGAAGAGTCCGCACTCCGGGGCCCTTCCAGCTGCGGGGCTCTACGCATACTGCGTAGTCTGCGTATAGGAAGCGGCAGCTCTGGTTCCATCATCACGCTATGAGACAAACAATGGGACAGCGGGTGAATAGCAATGAGCAGAATACAGCTAAAGTCATAATGATCACAGATAAGATAAGATAGACTCTATTGATCTCACACAGGAGAAATATACAATATAATTTTAATCGTAGGAGAGAGGAGAGGATAAAGCTCAAGTTCTAAACCATTTTTTGTTGTTGAAAACAATCGTCAATGTTTTTTTGCCTCAAGTTGTCAAGGTGTGATCCATAGCAGAGTAGGTCCCAGAAGTTAATCAGACCTCATCAGATCTGACTATGACGCCTGGAAGAGAGTGATATGACTACATGCATGTGAAAGCCTGATCTTGTCAGGTCTCTGAAGCTGTGTGATGGGAGACCTCTGGGAACACCAGGTGCCACAGTGGAATGGCTGCGGCTGTATAATGCCAGACTGTCATTGTGTCCTTAGGCAAGACACTTCCTCCAATAATAACAATTGTAAACCGCTTTGTGACTCTGGTCTGTGAAAGGTGGTATATAAATAAAGATTACTTACTTACTTACTTACTCCACATTGCCTTGAATTAATCTTGTGTGTGTGTGTGCGTGTGTGTGCGTGCGTGCGTGTGTGTGTGAATGGTTGGTGGTGGTCAGAGGGGCAGGTGGCACATACTGGTTGCCTCGCCTCTGTCAGTGTGCCGCAGGGCATTTATGGCTATAGTAGTTTATCACCACTGTGTACGGAGTGAAAGGATAACGTGAAGTGTCTTTGAGTGTCCAGACAAAGCGCTGAATAAAACCAATCCATTTTTATTATTATTACTATTGAAACCTGTTTTGCAATACATTTAGGAGTGCTTTCTGTACTACTCCTCATTTCTTACATGGTCAACAGAAGCCAGCCGCCTTTATGATGAAGGATCAAGTGAATTTGATTAAGAAGCCTAGAGCAAACTACTTCCTGACCACATTCTTGTACGTGAGCCAATGATGACCATCTCGTTACATTTTAAAATCTGCCTGATGTTTGTACGAATCAAGAGCAGCTCCCTGTTTCTGCTGCGTCAAGCTGCTACTGGTCTTTGACACCAGTGAAATGTAAAACTCCCTTCTCTGCAGAGGAGGTAGTTTTAATCTGAAAGCTGTATAGAAAAGAAACAGATTTGAAGAAATAATGAATGAACAGCTGAGAAATATGATTGAGACTCTGCTTACCTCTACTGGCCAGGCGCTAACATTACATACGTGCATTAAAACCCTACAGTCTCCGAGCCAAAGAGTGTATCTCATCTGGGTTTGTTTGTCTGTTTGCACCATAACACAAAAGATTAAGGGACGAATTGGCCGAAATGTTAAGCAAATCTACACAACAGCACAATGAAAAAGTCTTGATTAAAAATTTTTTATGGAATATTTACTTTCTATGCCCCGAGGCTGGGCTTTAACCAGAGGACCGAGGCTCTTCACAAGTATTCTCATCTGTATGCTGCGCAGTACTTTCCTCCAAGAGTGTAAAGTCTGAGTAACTTCAGTACTTAGTGTTTGAAGACAGAAGTATGACCAACAGCAGAATTTCACATTTGATCCAAACAATGAGTTATAGAGTAAAAACAAAACTTTCAAAATGTTTAAGCCCTCCGAGACGCCTGTTGCTGTGGGTTAGGGCTATACAATACATAGTTTAATCAAATATCATAATAAATCAGTATCATTAAAAAAAATACATTAAAAGGAGCATTTTTGTTTGTTTTAATGTATTTGTTCAATAATATCCAGGCCTATTTGACAAATGTATGTTAGCCTGGCCATCCGTAAACTCCGGTCAACTATTATTTTCTGTTCATTTACAATATTCAATTAGTATGATAGTAAGACAGCATCATGCACACCGTTTAACAACATTTCACATTTATTTTGATTTGAGTACATTTTGTCTATAACTTTTGCCAATGGGACACATTTATTGTTAATGAATAAGAAAGCATTATTTATTTATTTGTATTCTTATGGAATACATTATAATAGTAATACATTATACATCCGTCATACATTATTGAATATTACTGATTTACTAATATGTATGTTGTCTTTGTTATAGACTACAAGTCCTCGTCACTGCCAGACTACAGAAGGAATGGACTTAAAAAGGTCAGAGCCGTGTAAATGAAATATGCACCGAAAACTAACTATTGATGATTGTGAAGGCTACAAATTAGACGCTAAATCACAAATTAGACTCTAAAACATTGATGGTTCGTTAAAGGGTCTGCTCCTGATTTTGTTGCATGTGTTTTAAGAAGAATTAGTGACGTCCCAAAGCAGATGTGTTGTAAAGAAAATATGTTTGTGTCATAAAAGTCCCTGGATTAATTGTTTCGCTAAAGTCACCTGTTTGTTTCAGACGCCTGGTCCCACAGAGTATCAGCAGTACAAAAGCAGTAATGCAGTGAACTGGCAGATCAGAGGTACTGTTCTCCTACTCACTTAAAGCTGGGGTACCTAACTTTTACACCACAACAATGGAACAAAAGCCTCATGTATTTATTTATTTGAGTAACATACAATAATGTTAGTAATAAAACCAAACAAAACAAAAGGATAAGTTATTACAGGCAAATTTGCGGCTCAAAAGGAGTAGGCAGAAATTCTCATCAGAAAAGTTTTGAAATTAACCATTAAACTGGACTATAAATCATGGTTTTAATCTGGTTGATATTTACCTACTGGTATCAAAACACATAATTGAAAAGATATGGCTTATTCTGTGTGACACCAAACTGTATAAATGTAGTGGAATTGTGGGAGAATAAAGTTAAATACCCCGGCTTTAAATTAATGAACACTGTTTTACTTGGAGATTACTCAATTCCTCTCTAAATAATTCTTCATTTCTGTGTGTTTTCTCTTTCAGAATATAAGGTAAGCTTCCAATAGTCTCGTCTTCGTGGTGAATGGTGTGTGTCTGTGAACGGAGGATGAAAAGGCAGCTTTGGTTTTGTTAAATATTCCCATTGTTTCCCATAAAGAGGCTTGTCATGAGCCCGTCGCTTCTGAAGTCAAGGATTTGAGCAAAAGTTCACAAAGCCACTGTCAAGGCCTCTGCGTTTTGTCATGTAAAGCAGCTCAGAGTGAGTTCAGTGGGGCGTCGATAAGAAATGACAGCTATATTTAGGTTTTACAAGCTGCCTGAATGCCACGGCTTTGTTTCAAGTCTAACAAACTTTGTGAATCGCAAGGACGAACTATGATCTATAATCCATGTTTAGTGTTGCTTTATTTATTGTTTCAGCTGTGTCAAAGTAAATCACGTCAATAGATTACACAGATTATATCCAAATGGTAAATAATTATCTTAGTGCTTTAATCAACAAAATCCCGTGGATGCAATTTCTTTGAAAATGACGGAAAAGAAAGTCACATACTATGCATTTTTTACTTTTTCTTTTTCAAAACTTACTTTCTATTTTTTTTTAAGTTCATGTTATACTGGACTACTCTACAACATAGAAAATCTCACAGTAGAAGATCTCAAGATCATGTTTAAGGGCCAAAATGACAACAAATACTTTTAAAGTTGGGGTACCTGCATGCCATCCTTCCATTCATCCATTTTCCTTTACTTTTTTCATTGCTGGGTTGTGGGGACTACAGATAAAGCAGAAGTTCAGGGGTGTCACTGACGTCCCAGACTTCCCTATCCACACACGCTTCCTCCAGCTCATCTGGGGGAATCCCGAGGCGTTCCCAGGCCAGCTGACAGACACAGTCCCACTAACGTGTCCTGGGTCTTCCCCTGGGTCTCTCCACCTTTCCAGGGAGGCTTCCAGGCGGCATTCGAGAACATAGGCCCGAGCCACCTTAACCGGCTTCTCTTGACGTGGTGAAGCAGCGGCTCTACTCCAAGCTCCTCCCGTGTGACTGAACTCCTGCAGGGCCATTTTATACATTCAGTATTCCCTCCAAAAAGTATTTAGCAAATGCAAAAATGTATGACAAAAATGCAACCTCTACATAATGTCTTTCCCAGTTTCAAAATCCTGTACCCCACTTTCAATGGTGGCTCATGTCTTTGGCAGCTTGTGGCCACTAGAGGGAGACATGCACTTTCTCTGATGTCTCTTGATTACGCTCTCTGCTGAAACAGTGAGAGTTAGATGTTAGATTCCTAAAGCTGGGGTACCTAACTTTAAAACCTCAACACAACTAACTAATGTAATAGAATCCATGTCACTGGCTCCTGGCTCTAAAACAGTTTGGTTCTATCTCTAATTTATTACATCCATGTATTCTGTTGGGACAAACTTCATGTGTTATTATAAAAAGGAAAAAAGAAAATTAGGTCCCCCAGCTTTAAAAAGGACTTGTATAGATCTTTATCTGGTCTCTCTCTTCCTCTGTGTCAGATTTACCCATACGAGGCTTTGGTGGTGTCCGTCAGAGGAGAGCAGCGCCTCCCCAAGGACGTGGACCGGGCCAGACTGGAGGTACCGCACTGCAGCTCTGAAAAATCTAGACCCAGATCCTTTCGAAACATAGACCATAATCTGTATTCAAAATGATGCAACCGTTTACACTTTTGATCATCTACTGTATGTATAATGCATAAATCACAGCATTCCAGGAAACTTGAATCAAAACCACAATAGCTTTGATTCTCCTGTGCCCTACAAGACCGTGCTAAACTATTCATGAACTGTCAAGAATTGTTAGAATTGTTTATTTATCTACTTTTTCGGTTGTTTTTGTATAGAATTTGGGACAAGTCTGAATAATAGTCTGTCAAATTATGCTGTATAAATAAACATTACTTACTTACTAAAGCTATAGTACAAAACTGTTTTGATCATGAATAATGCATTTGGATGGATACTTTATCTATGCAGAGTTGTAAAATGTAAGAAAAAAAGAGACTAACAATAGTATCATGACAGTATTATGATTGTATACCAATACTTTTTGAAGACAGGTACTGGTTAGACCCGCCCATGCTCACCCCCGCAGATTCCTGATTGGTCAAAATTAAAATGAGAAATCCTTCAGGCCTCTCGTCATTGGTTTAACATAATTGGTTCCAGCAAATAGCAAATCTTACTGATCGTAGTTATTGCATGACATTGTTGAAAATTTCTCACTGCACATAATAGTATAGTGGCCCGTGGTCATAAATATACATTCTATTAAATATGAAATAAAATTTTAATTGCTGGTTACCTAATGTATGATTTTAACCACATAAATGTGTAGCAGAGAACCAGTATATGTGTATGTTTTTGACTGAATCTTGTCTATGTCCCAGCGCCATCTGTCCCCAGAGGAGTTCCTCAAAGTGTTCGGAATGCCCATGTCCGCCTTCGACCGCCTCGCTCAGTGGAAGAAGAACGAGCTCAAGAAGCAAGTGCGGCTTTTCTGAACAACTCAACAAGTTTCTTCCAAATATTATGAATGAAAACTTTATTATTACACTGACATCTCCTCACTGGACCCAACTGCAAACTTTACTTTTGTCCTGTGGCTTCCAAAGAATTACATGAGAAAAGTGGCATAACAGTAAAAAAAAAACGGAAGAAATTACGAGTAAGAGGTGTGTTGAACATGACTCATTCTGAATCATAACGTGACATTTCAAAGTGTGGCCACTAGAGGGCAGTAAGTGGACACTGGACACATCCCATAGAAGGCGACTGTGATGAAATGATGGAGAAATGTTGTGTTATTTTTTATGTTTTATTTAAATATGCCTGTACAGTTTATATATATTATTTATTAAGTTTGACATATCGATCCAGCGCCAAATCGGCAATGCAAATGAATGTGTTATTTTGTTGTTTTTTTACTGTTTAAAGCTGTGGTACCTACTTTGACCATCCACAAGAAATGAGCTATGTCATCAAATCTATCTTACTAACTTGTTAACTCGGTCTCCACACAGTTTGGTTTGAAGACTAGTTTTCACGTTAATGCAATTTTAACCGGCTGTCACATTTTTTTATCAGCTTTTTTAGACAAAAAAGTGAAAACAAGAGTAGTAATCTTTATTAGTAATCTTTATTTATATACCGCCTTTTCACTGCAGATCTGAGTCTCAAAGCAGTTTACAATTGTTAATTGTTTTATTTGGTTTTTTTTTGGGCATTTGTCTCTCACTCCACACAGAGATGGGAGCGGGGTCGCCAGTACAGGAGGCGCATGCCAGAACTATTGGACATATCTTTAGAGAGGACAACTCTCTCTCAGCCAATCAGCTTAAAGCGTCAAATAGTGACTCTAAAGGCTCTTTCTACGTTCGCAAAAGTAGATCAGATCACAGCCTGTTCACAAAATGTTACTCTACAAGATTCTTTCTGTTTGAACATACTTTACGGAGTATTTATGACACAAAAAAGTTGGGTACTGCAGCTTTAAAAGGACAAAGGTTGGCTAGCTTGCTTATGGCGAGGCCCTGAAGATGAAGATATCCTTTAGTAGTCCCACAGTGGGGAAATTTCAGTGTTGCGTCGCAAGCAAGTGAGTTGTTATAAAAGCTGTATAAGTTGTTATAAAAGCAAAATATTGTGTTAAAATGAACTGTGTGGGGGACATTTCGAAACGGCGTTATCATTTCCATTGAAAACCAAGCCAAATGCACTTTTAGTTTAACTCCAGCTGTGCGAATCTAACCAAAAATCCTTACTTCTTCATAAACAACATTGCAGGTTTGAAGATAATAATGAGAGACCGGAATTGTTGACTATTTAGCAGGAAAAGAAAAAAAGCAAATGGGATTATTTTTAGTATCGGGGTCAAGAAGGACTAACGGAGCACGGAGAAGGAGGACAAGAGGGCTGTCGACATGTCATATTAGGTTGGGGTGGATTCATGCAGAGAATAATGAGACTGAAAGCGCAGAAGGGAGTAGGAGATGGAGGAAAATGTAGGTAGGTTGTTTTGGCATAAGAACTAGATACGGCTAATGATGCCCAAATAAAGTCTAAACAGTTATTATTCAGGGACTGACTTTGTGTGAATGTGTGGGAGCGTTCAAACAGAGTGTAGTGAAAGGGGAATTCATCACATGTCCTCGGTTTTTAAATAAACAAAATAATAATAATGATTTCTGTCTTTTCATTCATTGAGTCTTGGTAGCCTTCGATTGCCACTGCAAAAAGTAAGGACAAATAAGGAAATAACTGCTCAAATTTGGCTGAATGTATAAATTAAGATAAAAACCACTAGATTCAAGCAATTATTACCTAACATTGTATTATTTTTTGCAGTGTGTTTGTCCAGTTTAATCCAGGTTTTGGAAAGGATATTATTTTATCTTGGTTTTCTTTCAATATTTTTCATATTAACCCAAAAAACGTTGAATAACATAAGAGGAACAAAATAAACGTTGTGGTTAGTGCTTGTTGTCCACAGCTAAAAGAGCCTGGATTTGATTCCACCTCCAGATGGGGCTTTTCTGTTTGAGATTTGCATGTTCTCCCCGTGTCTGTGTAGGTTTCCTCCAGGTGCTCCAGATTCCCCTAACACTAAAACCATATACAACAGGTATGATTGTTTTGCGTGAGAGAACGGATTGGGGATGGTCAGTGTTTGGAGTCTCGCTTCAATCATCACTGTGTGTGAAGAGAATGAGAATTACAGTTATGTGACCTTGGTCTGTGAAATGCGCTATATAGATAAATATTACTGACTTCCTTACACCTGATGTCAATGCAGTATCAAACATTTTCTCCCGGTGGTCCATACAGTCGCATTGGCTACATTAACTACCTTAACTTCTTTCTCCAAGATCCAAAACTTATAACCAATTAGGGACCAAAAATTAAAATATGTTAAAGATATGTAAATTAATCAATTAGCATAACAAACGCCTTCATTCAAATTCACACAACCTCGGTTAAGATTCAACCTTGTTTTTTGGAGCCTACATGACCTCCAGCTTTAGGAACAGGTTGACCTAATTTTGATTATAGTTTGTAAGTATTTTACTGTTGTTATTCATATTTTATGCTGCACTATATTCAAGTAAATTCTGGATTTGGTTTATTGTAATCCTGTTTTTACCTGATATATTAATTCAGCTGTAATAACTGGTACCAGCATATGTACACAACGTGAGAAAAATAATGTGTAACCAGAATATATACATTTTGGCCAATTTGTCAAATGGGCGACAGTGACAGTTGGTAGACCATTGGCCTTTGAGCCTGAAGGTCGTGAGTTCAAGCCCACCACGAGACCTACTTCACGACTCCCACTGATGTCTGCTGTCGTTGTCCTTGGCCAAGACACTTTGCTTGAAGCCCGCGCTGAAAGATCAAGGCTCCTGTGGACTCACCACCTGCAGGAAGATCAGTGAGGGGCTGGTGCTATGTGTACTGGGTGCAGCTCTGACTGCCACCCCCCCTGAACCAGAAATGGATCAAGGGGAAGAGGATGGATGGATGGAATTTGTCAAATGATATAAATAGCAACTATTTTTAACCTACAATCAAATTTGTTCCTATCCGTCACATATCCTGTATACTCACATGTATAGAATGTTTGACCCCACCACAACATGGTGAATCAGGGTGGATCAGCCCAAAGAGTCATAATGTGACTCACACAGCTAGTCCTTCAATGACTGCTGAATATACATGTTTACTAACAGAATGAAGACAGTGTATGTGACTGACTTGAGTTATGTCGCAAGGTTTTGCAATGCATATAATGTTAAAACAGAATGCATGAAATTATAATAATAATGATCATAATAATAATACAAATAATAAATATGAATAACATGCTTGATAAATTATAGGGTCTATACATAAAACATAAATATAATTAAGTATTAAGCACATTATTTTCTGTATGTTTCGTCTTTTTCTGTTGCCATGGGAATTAGGGACCAATCAGAGACAAGAACACTGCTCGTGTCGTCCAATGAAAAAGCAGAGAGCACTTACAGCGGCGCGAACTCAGACGACCGAAAAAAAATAACTTTTCATAAACTTTGAGCTGAATTTGACGAACTACTGATCAAACATGGCCGCTAGAAAACAGATGAAGAAAAAACACGTGGATGAAGCGTCTGATAAAGCAAAGTTATTCGATTTTGCTGAAGAAGACGAGGCCAAGAAGGAATTGAGTGGTTCAGAAGAGGAGAACAGGAGAGAGGGTGTGTTAGCTACTGATGCTAATATCAGATGCTAGCTTTGAACTTACTGTGTTAGCTACTGATGCTAATATCAGATGCTAGCTTTGAACTTACTGTGTTAGCATAGACTGCCTTTATATTTACATTCTCTTCTGTTTTATATTCAAGATGAAACTCCTGCTGTGGATAAAAAACGAGCCAAAAAACGTCCTTCAGAAGATTTTGATGAAGAGGAGGAAGCTGGCCCAATGGGGTAGCTAATGGTTTATGTAGATTATAATGTTTATGATTTATGCTTGGTGTGATATGGGTTGTGAGGCCTTTTGTGTTGCCTTGTGTTGGAAAAGCGCTCTTCAAATAAAAGGGGATTGATTGAAAACCTTTTCAAAATGGTGGACACTTATGTGACAGTACGGGCCACAAGGGGGCGGTAGGTGCAGGCTTTAAAAGCCACTGGCCTGTCTCCTTCGGTCTTGGCCTGCACACTTTCTGATCCGGTGTCGTAAACCCCCGCCCCGTGTTGCTCCCATAGACTGTCCACAGGTACAGTGTTTGTGACTTTTAGAATCAGGCGTTGAGCTTATCGTTCCTTTATTTATATATATATATATATTAGGCCTGTAAGATGGGGATGTCTGCCATCCCTCCGCAGCTCCTGTTCAGTGCAGGTGTGGAGGGTGCGTCAGCCTCCTGCACTTTACGTGCCCTGCTGCTTTAATGGTGGTACGTGCAAAATCGAACTATAAAAATAACAGTTTGTGTAGTAACCTATTGCATCTACCATAGACATCTTGCTGGTGCTGAGGAGAGGAGCGGCTGCCTTGCCTTTCTGTTTTCCCTTTATCCAAGCGGATATCTGTGGTGGCTTGAATTGTGTCCCACTTTGTAAACATGGACTAAATCTAGTTGCTAATTGCTACTCAATATCTAAAAAACTTACCAGGTTTAGTATAAATAAAGAAAATTTTATTCTGCCTCAGTCTTTTCCGTAATACATACCTGTGTGCTTATAATCTTCTTTCATTCTAATGGCGTTGATGGTTATGTGTGAGAGTCGGATTTAAAAACTACACCACCACCCGGTTACACTTATATCACAAAATGTTTTTACAATTTTACAATTTACAACTAAATTGTCTAAAGCCAAATAGTACCAGTATAAAATGTTATGAATTATATAATAAACGCAAAGTGACGCATTTTATTATCAAGAGTTTAGTGGAATTGATAATTCATCAATCTAGACTATAGACCAGGGCTGTCCTTTAGCCCAACAATCTTTTTATTAATATTTCTATTCAACTTTCTTACAGACTCTTAAGTCCAATTATAAACATTCAGACAGGACAATAATTAACTAACAGATATAATATAATGTTCATATACACATAGAAAATTAGCTGATTTGGTAGTTACTCTGTAATTGAATGCACAATTCTTGATTCATGGGTGTAATACACTACTGTATTTATATCAACATAGTTTATTTTATTCTATTGATTCATAACTAGTTAATTTTACATAAAGTTTTAAGTTTTTCTTGTCTATCGATTAGGCATGTCTTTGGATGACTGCAGCCCTGCAATAGACCAAACCTTATTTTACTGCCCACAAGTACTATTAAAAATGCATTATCCAGATATTATGTATCATTCAGTTCAATGTATTCTTGTATAGCCCTAAATCACAACAGTAGTTATCTCAGAGGACGTAACTAAACCGTTGGAATCGCCACCACAGATCAGAGAATTGAACACCTAGATATTGGTCCATAGGTAGTTGACCAATTTGCATTATTGTACATATGTTGATAAATGTTGTAGAATGTGAGTGTCCTGGATCATCACCACAGTCATTTTTGCGTGAAAAGCTGTATCAATTCACATCTGTACTGAAGTTGTGTGTTTTCTCACCTTTTCTCACAGAAATGAAGTCATATCCATGATTGAGAAGTTTGGTGGTATATTTCATTTTCATTATGATCACAGAATATACACTGGAAAAAGCTACTCCTTGTCTTACCTCTGTGTGTCTGTGCTCGTAGCCGACATCAGTAAGTCTGTTCAGGCCAAGAAGAAACGCCTCGAGGCTTTGACCAAAAACTACATGAAGGGAAGTCAGCAGAAACTGGAGCAGCTCTGGAACAACTACCATTCTCAAAGGTTTGGCCGCAACACTCTTTGTACACAGGGTTTTATTGCAGTGAAATAATATCTTATTCAATTGGTTCAGTTCATGTAACTCCAATCTTTGCGATTTGTTAATTACAACCACAAGAAAACTGATTTTGTGTGCAATTTTTAGACAATTTAATCACACAATGAATTATATCGCTACAATGACTGATATTTCTACCCACATTATAATAACATGAGCACAGAACACAACAGTGATGAGGACGTCATTATAAAACTGGATGGATGTGTTCAGGCAGAAGATGACGGCGCAGTACTCGCAGCAGTTCTCGGCGGCGCTGCAGCAGTGGGAGACGGAGGCGCACAGGGCGGACGAGCAGGAGGAGCGCCTCAATGTCCGTGTCTCAGTGACTTCAATGATCATACATGTGTCTTTTGTTATACGCAACAAGCTTGTCACTAGGTAGATTTGTTTTTGACAAGCATTATAAGGTTTGATTATTATTAGGTTAGTTTCAGTCTGAATGTAGAGATTAACACTGGATTTGTGGAATTGGATGGACCTTGTTTCAGTCTAATCTGGTGCAGTCTAGTCGAGGGTGAAATTAAGAGTCTAGGACCAATGATCAGTGTGTGATTGGATTAGGGTTAGAATAGAGTCAGGGTTTTCACATCTGATCTTGTCTCCTATTTGGGCTGTGTGAAATCTGCAAGAGACTTAGGCCCTGTCCACACAAAGTCAAGCTCAGGCCTAAACGCAAAAATACTTTATCAATCCAGTGTATCGTCCATACGAGGCCGGCGTTTTGGGGGGGTGTAAACGAACATTTTTGAAAGTAGGTCCCAGAGTGGAAAGATTTCAAAACTCCGTATATGCCGCTCCGTGGTTACTGCCTCTCCGCAATGTATCTGAGACGCTTGCGTCATCGCCCCGCCTGTTGTTAAAGCACGCATGCGCCGCACTCAGAAAATAATGACAACAACATTGTAGCTTGTTGGTTTTGTAATCCAGTGCGACCCGAAGCAACAGTTCAACCTCATCGTCCGTCCATACTAATGTAGTACCAGCTCGCCCACTCGCCATGTTGTCTGTTTACAAAATTCTGCGCATGCCCAGTTCCCGTCACGGAAGTTTGGGCTTGATCCCGTCATTGCGTCACAGCGCCACCAACAGGTCTGGCATAGTTTCACAGCGTTTTCAGGCGTATTGACTACATTCATATGGACGCACACATTTACTGAGCTAACTCCGTGTTTACAGAAAAAGTTTCTGAAATTATAAGCGTTTTGTCTTCGTGTGGATATAGTCTTAATTCAACTGTTAATTTAACTGAAAAAGGCCTTTTTTTAAACTGGCACGTTGCATGTGATGTCACTAGGGCAAAAGTTTCAGCTTTAGCCCCATCTTTGAAATAGTGAATGTAAAAGTGGGAAGCTGAAAGGTGGCTGAAACAGTTACGTTAACAGCAATTCATACTACATGTTAAGTAAGAACAATACTTTATTGACATAACCGCTGTCAAAACAAAGACAATGAGGTCTCTGCTCATGTAATAAGATAAGATTTAGTCAAAAAGTTACATATTACACATACAGTATTTATGAACCATGCAAAACTAGCCCTGAGAAAGTAGCTCTCTGGGTGAAAAAGGTTGGAGTGGAGAACCCTGGTCTAACCATATCTTTGTTTCCAGAATCTGTTGAGGCAGCAGCAGAAAGTTTTGCAGCAAGCCCGAGTCGTACAAAACCAGAAGTTGAAGACCGTCAGAGAATTGTATGAGCAATTTGTAAAGGTACGTGCAGAAAAAAAAATGGTCCAAACTTAAGTTATCGTCCAAGTCGTCTCAAGTCACAACAGAACAACTAGAAAAATTTTGAAATTATAGTTTTATAAAATGGTGAGATTCTTGCATTGTTTGAATGAAATATGTGATGCATACACAACGACAGGCTGCAGCACAAACTTCTGTTGACATGTTTTATTAATAACAAGTCATTTTTTATTATGTATCAATACATTTTCTTCTCAGAACATGGAGGAGATGGAGAAGAGCCATGAGACGTTCCTGCAGGGGGCGCAACAGGAGCTGAGGAAAGAGATGGCCTCACTGCAGAAGAAGATCCTCATGGACACAGTCAGTGGAATTAGATCAATAAACGTTGTCAGAAAATGTCATACAATTGGAAACAGCTGCACTCTGGCCAATCACTGTCAGTTAGAACATTTTAATACAAGCTTGGCCTGGATGGAATCAGGGCAAAGCAGGCACTAAAAAAAGACCTGGTAAAATCCTCCAGCTGCTGTAGTCCTGAACAAGCCGAGAATCAACATCTGGAGATGGGTTCCCGGGCGCTGTTACTACGACGACCACTGCTCCTGACGTTAACCTTAGTGGCATCAGGATGGGTCAAATTCAGAGGAGGTGCACTTGACCCATCCTGATGTCACTGGCAGTGTTGGGCACGTTACTTTGAAAATGTAATTAGTTATAGTTACTAGTTACTTCTCCCAAAAAGTAACTGAGTTACTAACGGAGTTACTCCACTATAAAAGTAACTAGTTACCAGTAAAAGTAACTATTGCGTTACTTTTTCGTTTTGTTCTGGAACATAATGTGCACTCGACGTTTTTACCTTTAACCTCAGTGAGTCTGAAATAGAGCCTATATTTCCATCTAGAAAAGGCTGTTTTGCTGCTGAAGTCCTGTTCACTCTTCATCTCTCTCTGTGCTGTAAAGCACTAAACACCAACACCAGCCACTGTGAATGTGGAAACACCGGTGAAGCACTGACTTCAGCCCAATCAGATGAAACATATATATCATATAAATCAACTGGACAATTTGTTTGGCTACAGCAAAATATGTTTCATGCCCGCATTGTTTGTTCATACAAAACGCAAAACTATGAGTTATGGGTCTTACCTTATAAATGACCTGCACAGACCACTTCGGTTCGGACCAGTTCCATGTTTAAGTCCAAATAATAGTTTGAGCGTAGATATGTAATCCTCCATTTGGAAATAAGTCCAATGAGTTTTAAAAAGTAAAACGAAACGCGTGTCTCCTCCATAAACTTGTTTTGTTAGCTGCAGCCGGCTGCATCCAATTTCTAAAATCAACCGTCTTACATTTCACCTCTCTTTCTTATCATTCCTATAGTAGTCATTGAAAAAATTACCCTAAGTGCATTTTAAATTATCTATCTATTATATAAAATGTGTTATATGTATGTTAGCCAAACCTGTTGCTGTCCTTAGCAGATAAACCAGGAAGAGAAAGGAGCTTATCGATGGAATTGTATGCAGCCGACTTCTGCGCTCACATGCGCTCCTCTGAGGCTGGCCTCACGGTGATACAAGCCGTGGTTGAGCGCAATTAAGACCCATATTTGTTTCAAAAACACAATTTATGACCATCCTCTCAACTGTAGACATGTAGATTGTAAAGGAAATATGTTTTACATCAGCCAATAATTGCTGAGAGGTTTTCTCATCCTCCCTTTTCTCATGACAACACGCACACGAGTTTTTATCAAGTAAAAAAAGAATTTCATTTTGCGTCTTGAGTAACGCGCAGTAACGGGGTGTCGGCAATGATAACGCCGTGATAGTTACAGTCAAAGTAATTAGTTAGATTACGCGTTACTGAAAAAAGTAACGGCGTTAGTAACCACTGGTCACTGGTGCCATTTATTTATCCCCTACGTGCACCTTTACCGGTTAAACAGGGCTGGTGGGCACACTCCCTATCAGGGTTGAGTAGAGTAGATAAGGGACAGGTCAGACTGGTGGAAATGGGACATTCAGTTTCACATGGACTCAAGTTCCATTTGGAATTCTACTGTAATGAATGGTTTCTTGTCATTGAATTAATTTAACTAATTTCATCCTTTGAAAACTGATCTGGATCGAGATGTCTTCAAAGTACAGGCTCTAGATTTTATCACATAATCATTGTCTCTAAATAGTCATTTCAGCAGTGGACTTTGTGATGGCATAAATGAATATTTTTTGCGATGTTGTAAGAATTGTGTTTTGTGGTTTGCCGCAGCAACAGCAGGAGATGGCCACCGTTCGCAAGTCTCTTCAGTCCATGCTGTTTTAACCCGACTTCTCCCATGGTTCATTTGGATTTGGTTAAAAAAACAACAGCAAGCACAGTTTTGTATTTATATTTATTGTAATTTATACACTTCATAAAATGTATTTTCATTGCCTCTTAATTATATTGTTGAATGGTGTTGAGAAATGTATTTATTACATGAACATTTTTAATAAATATTTCATACTGTAATATTTGTGATTTTTTTTTGTTTTTGTTTTTTTGACTTTCATTGTGATTAACTAGAGCACTCAGATAAAGTTGAGTTTGCTGGATTCAAACTCAGCTTTATCTTGAATGGCAGTTATTAAGATTATTCGTCTCACAGTGGGAAACTTCAGTGTTGCATCATGGTTACAGAACAGTAGGAATGAAGAGCACACAAGATAAACAATAACTACTAAAAAAGAATGAAATCAGTATAAAAACAAATCTAAATAGATTAAATTAATCTAAAGTGACTGGTAAGTAATTATAAAGAGAAGGAGTTAACGTTCCATAGTTCATGAAATTAATGCAATATATGAAATAGAAGAATGTGTTCATCACTGAATAAGTCTGATGATGTCACCAGGCGCTGTGTGACTTCAGTGTGTGTCATGGATCTATAATAACATGTGTGTGTGTATTTGTAGTATCCCGGCGCTAGGACCGCGCAGCCCCAGGTCTCGGGGCTGCAGAATACTCAGTACGTGAGTAAAGAGTAAAGCCGCTGCTGGAGCTTTGGCCGAAGAGAGCTACAGAGCTCGCTGTGTCCCAGAACACGCCCCGTACGTTCAGAAAATCACTTTGAATGAAACAACCGAGGGATTGTTGAGAGGAGCCGCGGAGCAGAGAGCTGCAGTCATGGAGTCAAAGCGACAGAGCGGTGAGTAAAGTTGGCTTTGTTCAGACTTGAGTGAAACTGCTCCAGTCCCAAACACAGACAAACACCGAGCCGTGAGAGGATGTGTGTGACCCGCTTTAAAAAGGAGGTCACTGTCTTTTTATGGCTGTGTATGTCTTTATATGAGCAGATGGAAACTCTGCTATAGCGCTGTAATGATACTGAGGCGCGTTCCTCCGGAGAAGTTAGAACTTCCATGTAGACTTACAGACATAAGTCCGTCCATAACAGACTGTAAACAGTGGAAACAGACACATGCGGGTGTCTGCAGTCTGCTGCAGCTCTGTGGTGTTTGTGTTGTCTGTCTGTAAACAGCTGAGATCCTCATGCTCCCGGTTTAACGAACCAATTCTGACGTCATGCGCGTGCCTTTACGTGCCCGGTGCGCGCGCACAGCGGAGGAGAGGATCTCAGTGATGCAATCTGAGCCCAACTCTGGAGTGCCGTGTTGGAAGCGGCGCTGCTGGAGGCTGCGGCTCAATGGCCGTTCTGTCCCGGGCTCAGGCCTCAGGCCACAGACAGGAAACGGAATAATGTTTCTCCAGGTGATGGAGCCGCTCCTGGAGCCAGGGAGAGGAGAAACAATGGCCTTTGTGTGAAAGAGAAGGTAAAGGCTGTTGATGAGGTGCTTAATACAGCCATACACAATAACATGACGTCTTTGCATCAGGATACTGTATGGCGTCATGTGACACGAGCCTCAGTTTGATTCAGTACCATTCAACACTTCTGAACCATAACATGAACAGTATTTATATTTGTCCCTTGTAACGTGATGACTCCATCTGAGGACTGGTGCTGGTGTACGTGTGCTAAACAGTTGTGCAGCTGTGCATTTGTGCTGTGGAAAAACTCACTCATAGTCAGTCCTACAACTGCCACTTACGCAGCTTAGTTTGGAGTCTGGAGCAGTGGCCGTATCCTCGATCTCTCCACAGGACGTGAAGTGAGCAGCCTTGATCTCCACATGAGCCATACATTTCCTCTTCCTCCTCCACTTTTGTGGCCTCGGCCCAAGAGTTCACCGGTTAAACTAGTATCAGAGAAAGTATTCTATAGATAGACTCACCGTTTAGTCACAGTTACATGTGGAGACTTCACTTGTAAGTATGTATCCGTCTCCTGAGATTTTGCTTAACATATGAGTAGCTATTTAAACTTTACTCTTTCATCTTCTATTGTTACGCTTGCCTTAAAAGAGTTTTTTACAAGAGGACTGAAACATGTCACTGGTTTATAACAGACTTTAGGTCACTGAATTTTTAAATATTCACGTCTGGATTCACTGAATTTTTAAATATTCACGTCTGGATCAAAAGTGGACCAATTTTCTTTTCTTTCTGGTATTTTTTTCTTCTTTATTCATGAGTTTGCATAGTTTATACAGAAAAAAATACAGAACATTTAGAGAACAGGGAGTATTCTTAAAAATGTCTGTATTTTTTTCTGACAAACATTTTTTCTGCTTATTTTGCCAGATGTGAAACTTTTACACTTCTTTTATAATATATATATATATATATATTTTATATTTTATGCTTGTTATTTGATGCTAGGGTTAGATATGTTTTATTTTTATTAGTATAGCTGTTGTTCACTTATCTTATCTTGTGCTTTGTGCTCCTTGTTCCTACTGTTCTAACGTGATGGAATACTGACATTTCCCCACTGTGGGACGAATAAAGGATCTCTTAATCTTAATCTAAATCTAAAGAAGTATAAAAATGTCTACATGGACCAATGGCTCTTATATGTTTGTTATTATTGCATTTCTTGTTTTCGATTGGTTTGATTCTCTGATCTGTTGTTGGTGAATTGACTACTCTGTAAAGTCCACTGAGATGACTGCTGTTGTGATTTAGGGCGATACAAGAACAATTAAAAAAGGTGTTGAAAAAATGACTAAGTCCTCCTGGTGGCCACTGTTGCTACTTGTCGGTGCTGAATCATTGGACACAGATAATTGCTAATGTCTTTTAAGATCATCATCACTTTGATCTGAATTTCATTTTTAAATTCCCCACTCAGAAGTCTTTATAGTATACGCAATGACCACAGCCACTTCTTTTCATGACTCAATGACTTCTAGGACGCCGCATCTCTCAAGTAAACTTTTGTTCCGGAGTGAGCGGTCGGGGACGGCCAGGACTTGAACTCTGACCGCTGTTTGAAGATGGGGAGTGTCTGCAGAGCCCAAAATGATTAAGAGAAAGAGTTTAGGAAATGAACCAGAAAACATCCGAGGCTTGCACAAGTGGGACAGAGCGAACCCAACAACAACTCCAGGCTTTTTGTGTCATGTAAAAGACAAAACTCAGATTCAGATTTCAGATTCAGATTCATTCAGATTCAGATTCAGATTCAGATTCATTCAGATTCATTTATTTCGCCATTTGCAGTATGTATACACCACATTGGAATACATTTGTAAAAGTTCCCCGTGTGCACAGGACAAGTACAGACACAAAACAACATTAAAAGACAAAAAACTCATATGTATTAAGGAATTCAAGACATTTCCTGTAAAACTTCCCTGATTATCCAGTGGTCACATGGACACCAGTGGACGTGGAGAAGCTTGCCCCTCAACTTCTAAACTTCTGAACAAGCAGCTTTGTGAGAGACTCAGAATTGGATCAAAAGTTTATATTGCATTTATCTTTTGTGGCAAAACTGGTTAAAAAGCTTTTCCACTTCTTCTTTGAAAATAATTTGAAAAAAAGCTCAAATGAGCTCGGGGGCGAGAGTAGCTCAGTTGGTAGAGCATTGGCCTTAAGGCCAGAAGGTCGTTGGTTCAATTCCCACCTCTGCACCTTCTCCACCGACTCCCACTGATGACTGCTGTCGTTGTGTCCTTGGGCAAGACACTTAACCCCGATTTGCCCAAAGCTCCCGCTGAGAGATCAAGGCTATGCTCACTCTCAGAGAGCAGCCGTCCTCCTGTGGACTCACCACCTGCAGAGGGTCAGTGAGGGGCTGGTGCTATGAGACTTGGGTGGCATCTCTGACTGCCACCCCCCTGACCCAGAAATGGATTAAAGCAGGGGTGCTCACACTTTTTCAGCATGCGAGCTACTTATAAAAGGATCAAGTCAAAATGATCTACCTACTACAAAAATGCTAATCATATATTTATTTCAAAAAATATTCTTTATACCTACAATGTATGTTTATGTACATGCAAAACCGCATGAGCCAATATAGCACAACACAACACAATTATCTATGTACATTTTTTGTCATTACCCGAGTTTACTCTGATGACTTGCACTGAATTGAATCGGCCAGGGATGCATAGTCCGGAAAATTGGTGGTAACTCGCTGACAAGTTTGTCGTGGTTTAGCTTTCCTGAACTGAGCGCGGTTGTTTGCGCATGTGCAGTCACCTAAGTGTCAGTAAAACATTACTGAGTAAAACACAGATGTCATTTGACTGTGGTGCCATGTCCATGTGCCATGCCTGGTTTTTTTAAATACAAATATTTCCCCTCCTCCGTTTATAAAATAATTTGCATCCACACATCTGCGTTATCAATCACATTCGTAACATTCCAAACATGTGCGTCTCTTACGTCCTGTCCTGCGTTGGGGAAAAACACAGAAGTGGGCGGAGCTTTGATGCAGAGGTAACGGCACTTTTACAGTCATAGAAGACACTCAGAGTAAAGAGTAAGACGTATGTTTACAAGCACTGACCCCGTCCTCAGCCCTGGTTTAGTCCTGGTTTAGTCCTGGTTTAGTCCGGGTTTAGTCCTGGTTTGGTTGTTTTCGAGCGTGAGTCCCTGCGATCACTTTGCTGCTCTCTGATGTGGAGGATGTTCGCTGCTGCGAGCATCTCACAGCGAACAGTTTTTAAGGTAGTATGATCCATGCTTCAGTGATCAGAGGAATTTAGGGGGGTACTGTGGCGTGCGAGAACGCAAAACTCCGGTTATCTCTGTCTACACACAAATGCATTAACGGAGTTTTCAAAAATCTCCACTTTGCCCGGAGTTTTTTGTATATATTCGTTTAGAATGTGTAATTTTTTATTTATTTAATGCGATCTACCAATACTACCTTTGCGATCGACTGGTAGATCGCGATCGACGTATTGAGCACCCCTGGATTAAAGGGTAGAAAATGGATGGATGGATGGATGGATGGAGCTCAAATGAAAGTGAAAATGTATACTAAATGTTGTCAGTCTTCAAAGCTATTTTGCCAATTAGACAAGCAAATATATATATTTTTGACAAGCAAATTCTCACTTGAAATACCAATGTCTGCCGGTTCCATCTTATTCTAAGGTTGACGTAAATTTTGATTAAGAAACACAACATTTTAACATTTTCTGCTTTATATGTTACCGTACTTTTGCAGTGGATTTCATGCTGTTGGTAAATCTTTTAGGAAGGGTAGTAGAAAATTTAAAGCAGAGGTGTCAAACTAGTTCCAGAAAGGGCTGTGTGGCTTCAGGTTTTCACTCCAAACATTCATGAAAACTCAACCTGAAGACTTGTGAGTGTCGACGTTTATTGGATTTGGATCAAGAGCGTCTATTGTGTTTAGATTTTATGGCAAAACTGGTTTAAAAGCAATGCCACTTTTTCTTCATATTCGGAAGTCATACTGTATTTTGTAACTGTAGCCTGCCTCGATGAATTCATGACTGCTCAATTTGAGACAAAATAAGTGAGGTTTATTTTTGTTTTATATACTCTCACACCCAAAAAAAACACTCGTTCAAAATGTGTACTTGAAACGCAGCAAAGGCAAAGCTCAATTTCAGTCTTCACGTGTGTTTGTCCAACGATGGAAAGGCCTCTTCCTCACTTTCCTTGTTTGCATTCCGTTCATTCTTTCATTGATTTTTTTTACTTATTTTGTTATGGGCCGAGAGGAAGCAGAGGCCTCCCCATCTGCTTTGGGTATGAATGACACACTGGGGAGGTCAGATGGATCACTAAATATATACACGGCAAAACAAAAGGAACAAATAT